CAGAGAGGAAGAGAGAGCGATAGAGAGTCAGAAACATCGCTGAGAGAGAGACATCGATCAGCTGCCTCCTGCACACTCCCCACTGGGGATGTGCCCGCAACCAAGGTATATACCCTGGACCAGAATCTAATCCGGGACCTTTCAGTCCGCAGGCCAACGCTCTATCCACTGAGCCAAACCGGTTTTGGCATGGTATATCAGTGACTTGAAGGAGACATTAATCTATCCTTCCTTACCAAAGAAAAGTATAGTTGCACAGTCTTTTATTTCAGAAATGAGATTAGATCTCAACTGCGTAGATGTCAAATGATTTCATTATTGTTTTTAAAATAAAGATAAAGTGATAGGAAAAGTTTTGATCATTTTACCAGGTTATTAATGGAAAACTTTTCCTAAAAATCTGAGGGATGGAGACCCCAGCCCTGCCCTTTGCATCTCCCTCCTGGGGCATGAGGCTGGGAGACAACAGAGCAGAAGACCTGAGAACTCAGCCAGCCTGTCCCCTGACCACAGAGAGGCAGCTGACCTGGGCAATCTGGGCAGTGGTGTTCCTTTTTGCCCCCGGCAGGACCAGGGCCAGGCCCAGGAGAGGCTGGCAGGAGAAAAGAGCACGTTGTGAGAAGGGTTGTCTTCACACAGCATCTTGAAAAGGCAGAGAGCAAAGGTGCTATTTATTTCAGAAACAGCATCCATGATGCAGGGTCTGCAGCCAGAGAATGAAGACAAGGTGGCTTTAATACACCTCTGTGATATGGCCCTGACACACGTCATTTTTGAAGTAAACTTTAAAAACTCTTATAGCTCACTCATATTTCAGTGTAAGGAAAATCTATTTACTGTTCCTCTCCATCCCCAAAGTTGAAGGTAATTGGCTTAGTATGGTATTGGCAGATCAGACTGCTAAGCTCAAAGCTCCTTTAGTGAAATGGCTTCTGCTCCACCTGGAGCGGCCTCCTGCTGCTGTCCCTTGCTGCCCCCTGAAGCCTGCCAGTCCCACGGGGCACCTCTGAGCCCTGGAAAACACTCTTCTGACCCCTGATCCCTGTTCCCAGGTAGATAGCTCAAGCACCATACGCTCAAGGGGTGCTGCTTCCTCTCCAGAGAACGTGTCCCTTCACTCTGCCCATTTCCCAGCCTGGCTGCCCAGTCTTATCCTTCCTGCCTGGGCTCACAGTGTGGTCTGGCCAGGCTCTGCACTCAAAAAGGAGGACCCGCTGGGTGAGTGGGTGCTGATGAATGAGCTGGGATGGACCTGCAATGATTGGATTTGTGAGTGGACACTAGCTATTTAGCACAGAGGCGAGGTGGGACAGACATCATTCTGAGGGCCCAGAACACAGAGGAGAGGTAAGAAAGTGGCTGCAGAGGAAACAGGGTTCTATACGGGGTAACCCCAATAAAGAGGTGGCCACATGCATGGAAGTGGCACCTGGAGAGCAGATGGAGACCCCAGAGGAGGGGTTAGTGAGGGCCAACCAAAAGACTGAGGAGCGGGCTGCGTGGGACAACCAGGCCTGCAGGGGGCTTAGTTAGGAGTGACCGGGCTGAAAGTGAGGGTGGTGCAGGGCATCCATGCTGGCAGAGGAGGTCAGTGAGGGGCAACTCGGCTGGCGGGATGGGGTGGGGCGGGTATGGGGGCAATTTTATTGTCATGTGTGTTTGAAATTCTGCAGACATTATTACTATTGTTTTATAATGGTCAATATTTATTTAAATTTATATTTAAACTAGAGGCCCAGTGCATGAGAATTCATGCACTGGAAGGAAGGGGGGTCCCTCTGTCTGGCCTGCCCCCTATCACAGTCTGGGAACCCTCAGGGGTGGGAGGTGATCCAGTGATCAGGGGAAGGCTATATGCCCCATCACACCTCTGCTATTGCCACTGCCAGAAGCTCAATCCTTAGCCAGCCCTGATTACCTGAGCCTTGGGTGGTCCTGGGTAGTTGGGTAGCTGCCATCCAGGGTTTGCCTACTCACTGGGTAGGCCTTGGGTGGCTGGGGGACTGAGGGGATTTGGGAACTCCAGAGACAGTGGCTAGGCTGCAAGCCTGTCGCTCCCATGAGGCTGAGGGGACTGGGTGCCACCATTTTGTGTCTGTGGGCACTGCCATCCTTGAGGGCATGGCAGTCAATTAGCATATTCCTTTTTATTAGCTGTAGGTGCAGCCATCTTTGAGGGAGGGACAGTCAATTAACATATCCCTCTTTATTAGAGAGGAAGATTTTTTTTTTCTCTTCTTTTCTTACAACTTGTATGTTTCTTTTGCATAAATAATATGCTCTAGAATTCTTTTTAAGTGTGTCTCAGTTTTTGTTTGTCTGAATATATCTAAAGGACTATGTGTCCTGGGTATAGAATAATTTTGGTTGGGCAGGAGATTTGGGAGGTGTTTTGTCAGCATGTTAAATCAGTCTATAATCTCTGGTTCTCATAATTTCTGTTGATTTCTGTATTGTCCTTCTAGCTGTTTCTCCTCTGAGGGTATTTTGTCTTTTTTCTTTGGCTGTTTTTATTTCTTTCATGATCATCTCTTTGGTTGTCTGTAGTTTCACTGGGATGTGAGTAGAGATGGATTTCTTTGTAGTATCCTGCTTGGGAGGTGAGTAGGATTTCTAAAATCTGTGAATTGAAATTTTTACATATAAGTTTTAGAATACACATTTTGAATGTTAGATCATTAAATGTTATCCTGCATCATATTGTCTCTTGCCTTATATTTCTCTGTTAAATATCTTCTATCTATTTTCACTATTCTTATCCTTTCTTTTATGCTTTTCATTTTTTTTTTTTTTCTAGGCTTTACATTATAGTTGTCTTTCTGGAAGAAATTATGGGTAACTCTTTCTGGTCTGACAATTCACTTTTTTTTCTTGATAGATTTTGTTGATAAATTTATCTATTTAGTTTTTCATGTGTTATATTTTTGAGTTCTAGGACTTCTATTTCATTTTTGTTCTTTTAAAAATATTTTAAAATTAATTTCCAAGAGAAATGGAGAAAGAGAGAAATAGAAACATCAATGATGAGAGATAATCATTGATTAGCTGCCTTTTGCACACATCCAACTGGGGGTCGAGCCCATAACCCAAGCATGTGCCCTGACTGAGAATTGAACAGTGACCTCCTTGTTCATAGGTCAACACTCAACCACTGAGCCATACCTGGCTGGGCTCTTTTTAATTTTTATTCAAATATGCGGTATCTTTTAAATTTTTAGTTACCTGCTGAAATGCTTAACCTTGGTTTTTATCAACTTGATAAAACATAATTTGAGTGTGATTATTCCATTATTTAGAGCCCCTGTATTTCTGTTTCCATTATCTGTTTTTTCATGCTGATTTTTATTCATGTTGTCATAGCTCTTCACCCATCCCATTTATCTTTTATTATGTGCTAAATAGTGTAGTTTAAAAAGTTGATTATAAAAATAACTAGTGGCCCTTTGCACAGATTCATGCACATTTGAAAAGGAAATAATTAGAATAAATATTTTAATATTGGTATTTGCCCTTTATTCCTCAGCACCTAGGAGCCTGGTGGCAGTCCCGCCTCCTGCCACCTCAGCTGGTCGCACCTGCCTTGGCCTGGAGCTGCCCACTCACCATCCCACCATGGTCCCGCTCTTGCTCACGTTGGGGCCCATCTGGGCAGCAGCCCTTCCACTACTGCCAGCTGCCAGCACCACATGGCCAATGCTCATCATGTTCCATGTTTCTCCCCAGTGGACAGTGTACAGCATAGTGAGTGGTCAAACTCTCCATCTCCTGGTCAAACCACCAGCAAAGGGCACAATTTGCATATTAGACTTTTATTATATAGAATTTTGAGGTTTATGGGTAATCTTTCCCTAGGGATGATTTTTGTTTTTTCTTCTTCCACATGCCTCCAGATAGTAGCAAACCAGAATAGATGTAATCCAGATGTAAAGACAGAACTGTAAGTATTTTAAGAACAAAAGAAAGGAAAGCTTGTCAACAAATTTGATAAAATCTTTTTCTCTCATGGAGCCACTGACTATCATCATGGATGTCAGTATTGTCAGTCCAAGAACCTCATTAGTCCTGTCTTTTCTGAGTTCAGATAGAAAGAAGAGGACTGAGAAGTCTGGCTAGCAGAATCTTAGGAAACTTTATTAGCCAGCCCACTCGCCTTATGGGAGCAAGAAAATGCAGCATTTGAAGCCCCATTCCAAGGGGTGCATTTGACTAAGTTTATAATGATCACAGAGCCCCTCCCCATCCAGCATTGCATAAAGCCATCCCATTGCTATCACAGTCTTGACTATATGATTAAAATCAGGAGCCCTTATCAGAAAACGCACAAGAAGCTGGTAACAGTGTGTTCTTTGCACTCCTCTTCCTTAACTACTCTCCTACTCCACTTCTTTTTTTGTGGTTTCATGGCATATTTTAAGATAAGGCACTTACTTCTTCACTGCTTGTGATCCCACACAAACTACAAACCACATAGAGAAAGGGAAATAAGCTCTTTACTAGTTTGAAATCAGAGGGCCTATAATAAAATACTAATCCTACAAAACAAAGGGTCAGAAACACTGGCCAAGGCAAATTAATCTTCATAATCCACCCTTAATTGGGCTGCTCTCCTATATTTCAATTGAATATGTGTTTTTAAGCCTCCCTTCAACAATGAATGTCTCTCTACCAGGAGTCTATCTGTGAAATAAATTTTAGTATTATAATTTTTCTCATGGCTTTCAAGAGAGTAGAGCAATTTCTTAGTTTACTACACTGTCAAGCATCTACATATCTGCTTGGTGAATTCAAAAAAGCAATCAATGAATTTTTCAATATAAAAAAGAAAAATAGATATCTATGCCAAAGTTAATGCGTGTAAACAGCCAACAGAGCTGACATTACAAAGGAAGATAGAGATTAGTTTTGGGATGGTAGATTTGTTACAGAAAATATATGAAAACTATCAACATTGAAAGGACCAGTGACAAAGCTCTGAGGTTGGCCCTGGATTTCCCCAGTCTCTATGGGGAAGAAAGTCTGCCTAAGAAGAGGATGTTAGTTGAGGGATTGTGTCGAATGAAAAAAATGAATGGATGGTCGGCCACAAAATTTTCCTCTGGCATAAGGCAACAGTCGATGAACATTACTGTGGCAGCTGCTGCCTCTGTACCCTCCTCATTTACTTCCACAAAGGACTTGTGGACAATTTGTGATATAAAAAGATTTTGAGCTCTTGACATGCCAGACAGATCAGCCTTGCTTGTAAAGAGATCCTCTATACCCAGGCTGGCCAGGTGAGAGTTGAGGTTGTAGTTCTCTTGCAGCTTGAACTTGGGCAGGTGGACGTTGACTTCGATGGAACTCAGATTCTCAGGTTTGGTCCACTCATGCAGTTTTTCCAAGGTCAACTGTTCTTCAATCTGTAATGAGAATGGGCAAAAGAAGAGGTGAGAACTACTTCACATAAGCAAGGTAAACATTATTCACATGAATGGACTCATGTGATCAATTGCTAATTTGTGTGTTTTTATTGTGTTTTGTTTTTTTGTTTGTTTGTTTATGTTTTCATGTTTTGTACCAAAATAGATTCCAGTTGGAGGATTTCATTTTTTTCCCAGCAATTGGTGATAATAGAACAGAGCTGTGTTCCAAACCATCAAGGGCCCAAGTAATAGAGACTTTGGACATCAGAAGCTTTAACTACCCATCCACCCACCCACCCACCCTCCCATCCATTCACCCAGCCTTTCCTAAACCCCTACCACACTGGATTACTGTGATAGGCCATGATAGCTGTTATTCCTATAACTAGTTGATCTGTGCAAAGTAAAATTCTAAAGTTTTCTTCTATTTCTTCTATTCTGAACCCTACTGATCACTGTAGTTATCTGTGAACTCACTGTGCTGAAGTAATCTCTAATAGATTTAGCTTGTGGGTAAAAAAAGAAAAGGGACTAGTTCCTCATCTAAAATTGGGAGAGGGGCCCTAGCAGGTTTGGCTCAGCGGATAGAGTGTCCGCCTGTGAACTGAAGGGTCCAAGGTTCGATTTTGGCCAAAGGCACATGTCTGGGCTGCGGGCTCACTCCCCAGTGTGTGGTGTGCGGAAGGCAGCCAATAATTGATTCTTTCTCATCATTGATGTCTCTGTCTCTATCCCTCTCCCTTCCTCTCTAAAATCAATAAAAATATATTTAAAAAAATAAATAATATTGGGAGAGGGTTAATAATAGTACCTACCTTATAGCATTGGTGTGAATATTAAATGATTTAATGTGACACTGTAAGTGCCACAAGAATGTCAGCTATTACATTAGCATATTACTACTACTATTGGACTAGAATGGACCCATCAATCCACTTGATCTACTGATGCTGATTGTGTCTTTTATAGGACTGAAGAATTTCTCTTTATAAACAGAGAAGAGACAAATATGAAAATACAATTAAAAGAAAGAATATACTGATTTTAATACAGACTTTATACATACAAATAATTAACATTGGACCTTGTCCTGATAACAGTTTGGTTAGAGAGAGGGTAGAGGAAAACGACACAGCAGGCTAGAGACACTAAAGAAAAACCATAATCTTCACAGTTTTGCCCAGTCCTAGGCTGACAAGAAATGTCTTCGCCTTTAAGTGAAATAAAATAGAAACGTCATACAGAGTTCATATGAGAAAATAAGCTTAGCTCTCTTATGAGTCTTCTCTACCATGTAGCTCTTAGAAATTTAATTCACAATCTATATGAATTATGATGAGATGAGCAGTGTAATAATAGGATCTCATACTACATTTTGAAGCTGCCTACTATATAAATGTTTTGGAATTTGTAATTTTAATAAATTTGTTTCAATAAAACAATTCTACTCTACTGCACTTTCTTCTAAAGTTCATTTAAGAAAATTCCTGTGAGCTGCCATTGACTTGTGTAGTGGTGTTTCTCTCTTTTCAGCATCTAGTACGGAAAAGGAAGAAGAGCAGTTGCTGAGTGGAGGAACTGGGAATTAAGAAATTAAAGAAAGAAAGAGAGCGAGATGCAGAAATAGAAGCAAGCTGAGAGCTAGATGGGACACCATACTCTCTGATAGAGAGGCAGCGAATATCCTGAACCAGGCAGCATGTTTTTTTTATATGATCAAAGTAGCTTATTTGCATTCTTAAGTAGGCCCTAGAATTACTGGATTTACATATCTAGACCTGCCCCTGCCTACACCTGGACAAAGGTAAGAAGTCAGAAATGAATAACACCCCTCCCCCCCTTCATGGGGGTTGAGAGGGGTTTAACCCTGACATGGCTCTGCCAGTTGCCTAGGGCTCAGCTGACAATTTAAAGCATATCCATGTGCCTTCCCAGTGGCCCACTACAGACATGTTAAATTTAACATAGATCCTTAGATGTCACCCACCAAAACTGACAGTTGCTGAAAAGTTAATCTTAGGCTTCAGAGTAGCAAACATTGATGGGCTACTACCACACAACATACATACAGGCAGAACCCATGTGTCAGATGGAAACATGAAGCATGAGCGTGGGAGCCGTTACCTTCTTCAGACCCGTGGCCTCGTCCTCAATGTCATCTGGCAGCAGGATGACCATGCTGAGCTCCCTGCCCTGATAAGGCAGCTCCAGCACCCGGCACTTAAGGTCCTTGATGTAGCCAAATGGAAATTCACTCCTCTGATACATCATTTTCACAGTTTTTGTGACTTTCTGAATAGGCAAAAAGACCAAGTCACTCACATTATTATCTGCATTCTCTTAGAGCAAAGAGCAATTTTGTAATTGCATCATCTCACCTTATTCAATCTGAAAGGTCTATCCGTTGTGTCCTTTTGACTGAATTTCTCCTGCCAGTTTCCTTTGAAATAGATGGCATTAACTAGCACAAGTTTAGTCATACAATCAATCACGCCTGCAGCCAATAATTCTGGAATTTTCCCTAAAGAAATAAAGTAAGTTTTAAAAAAATTCACATATCAGTATTCCATTTTTGAATTGCATTGAAGTGCAATTCAAATTCATATTTTTTATTTAATTCCCATTAATGTATTAAGTTAGGGAAGCCCTTCCAGTGTGTTTCAACTGTAAATAAACCAACTAAAGGGTTTAAAAGCTAAAAACAGGACAATCTTCTCTGCATTATATGAGAAACAACGAGCCTTCTTGGTGAATGGCCATTCTTTGGCAGGCATAAAAAATATTTCTTAATGAAAAGGATTTTTAAATGAGTCATTTCTTCAAGGCCTCCAGGTGGAAGCTGCTCCCACAGAAGTATTTAGCAGCATTTATCCGAAGGCGAGGACAGTCAGTCCTCTGAAACACCAGTTCCCCTGTGACCGCAGCATGGCCATGAGGAACGCTTTGGATGGGAGACAGGTGTTGGGTAGGTGCCTTGTCTCAGACCTTGATGAGGTTAGAGAGAGTTGTGGTGGAGAAACAGCTGAGAGGGAGCCGCCCCTGACAGCTTAGACAAAACATTAGCCAAATTACTTATGGCCACAGAAGTTTGTGTCACAAATATGAGAATACTCGAGGCCTAATGCACGAAATTTGTGCCAGGGACTTAGCCCCAACCAGCTGAGCTGCCTCTGCTCTGGCCACCACAGCTTCATTTGGAAGGTTGTCCAGTCTAATTAGCACATTATGCTTTTATTATTATAGACTAAAGGCCCGGTGCACAAAATTGGTGCACTCAGGGTGTGAGGGTCCCCTCAGCCCCGTCTGCGCCCTCTCTCAATCCGGGATCCCTGGGGTAAATCCGGCTCCCAGCTTAGGGACCCCCGACTTTCCGTGGGGAGTGGGCATAAGCTGTAGGTCTGACAATCCTAGCGCTGTCATAGAGGCAGGAGAGGCTCCCACCACTGCTGCTGTGCTCACCAGCCATGAGCCCTGCTTCTGGCTGAGTGGCACTCCACATGTGCGGGCGCACTGACCACCAAGGGGAAACTTTAGCTTTGACAGGCATCAGGCCCAAATTGGCTCTCTGACATCCCTCAAGGAGTACCGGAATTGTGAGAGAGCCTAGACCAGCACAATGGACCCCATGAGTGCAATATTGAGGCCAGAGTGGGACGTGGGAGGTGGCCAGCAAGGGAGGGACCTTGGAAGGGTGCAGGGGTTTCTGGCCAGTCTTGCTCAGTCTCAATCTGCCAGACCTCAGCATCAAGCTAACCTACCAGACTCAGTGTCTGTCCCCTACTGGTCAGTGCACACCATAGCAAGTGATTGACTGGCCTTAGCATATTATTTGCATATTACACTTTGCTACACCAGAGGACTGGATGATCCCACACCTAGAATATTAAGCTTTTTTCTAAAAGACTTCTCCCCTCCCCCCGTCCTCCCCTTAAATCTGCGACAGGATACGTTTTCCTCAAAGCTTTATCCTTTTTATCCTACAGTCAATGTTAGTTTTAATTTTAAAATGTGGTTTTGTGAATTTATGGGGGAAATATTTAGCTACTTCAGTAAAAGCGTGTGGAAGTCCCCACTCTGAGGAATTTCCACATTTAAAAGCTGTCTGGCAGTGGGCAGTGGCAGAGGTTAGCCCCAGCGAGAGGGTGAGGGCAGAGGAAAAGGGCAGGGAATTATCTGCAGGCTGGGAAAGTGGACAGAGGAAACAAAGGGCCAGTGTGAAATGAATGACTACATTCTGCCCACTCCCTTACCTTCAGTCTGCCCTTTGACCCACTCGTTTATCACCTTTCTTGCATCTTCAGAGGCTTTTCGAAAATCTACACTGGCCAGTTCAGTTCCAAACATTTTCTGGGTTGAACCTAAGAACTCCTGTTTAAAATATAAAATATATATATATAAAAAAAGAACAACATCAATATGAAAAAACCCACAAATAGCATCTACTATATACAGAAATGGTTTTCTAAATTCCTTAAAAGCAATAGAAATTGTCTTAAAAGACAAAAATTTCAATATAACAAAAGAATTTAACTCTTATACTTATTGCATTATGGTAAAAAACACATAACTTTAAATTTACCACCTTAATCATTTTAAATGTATAGTTCAGTGGTTTTGGTATTGAATAAAATTTACCAATTCTTTTCTAAACTTTGGTAAATTTATGAATATTAACATTTCCATAAATAAGTATACACGGATTGTTCTTGGAAGTGAATTATGGAATTCACTGTTGCTTTATTAAAACAGCCAGGATCTATCTTTTCCTATGAAGACTATCAAATGAAATTGAATCTCTAATGGGGATACTGCCATATGTTTAAATTCTGTATTGCTTTCTGAATGTTTATAAAAATAAAAACTGACGTCTGTGACTTGATTGTGCTGGAAAATATCTGCACTGTTTCCTGAGATTTAGAAAAGTGAAAGCAAAGTACTCACAGGGAGGAACTCATAGGTTTTCTCTCCATATAACCTATTAGCAAGTTTCAGAAGATAGGGAGCTCCACGCTTGTTGATATCAGCATTCAGACTCTGGAAACTGGAATGAATCTCCTTCACCGCATCAAAGTGAAGAGTCTAAAACAGAGAAAACATTCTTTCTGCAGCCATTTACTTTGGAATGGATTCCTTGATATTTGCTTCTATCAAATTAAATTAATGCTTATATTACTAATATCAATAATATCAGCCCAATATTTTATTAAAATTTCATTGGAGAACAAAAGAATAGAGAATCTAAAATTTATAGCTTTGTGAGACATAATTACATTATAAGCTCTTTTTATATCACTTCTTTTTATAATAACAGTCCCATGAATGTCAGTTGTTAATAGGCTAAATATTTACCCATGTCTGCTTTTTCTCCAAAGAAAATCACAACTGGTATATTCATATATAAATTCTGTATCAGAGAGTTTTATTGAAAGTTCTCAGAAATAAACAGTAAAATTAAGAATCATCCCCTCTGTGGGAGCACAAAGCTATTACAGAATTGAGGGGATTTTAAAACTACACTATCAGCATCAGTAACTTAAAAATAACATCTATAAACTTAACATTCAGCAAAAGTTTAATTTTCATGATGCAAATCAAGAATCCGTTTAGGGTTTTATGAGTCCTGGGCTGGGTCTTAGTTTACACACAAAGAATAAACCAACACAATGTACAGAGCCCAGTTACTCACCAGGATGGGGAATGTTTGCACAGTTGCTGTGATAGATCTGCTTTGATGGAAAAGCAGGGGAACCTTTAAAACTATTTTCTGCAGAGGTAGTACAGTCCCTGGATAAACCTCAAAATAGAAGTGACATTACCTGGCAAGAAGCAACTAACCATTATTACCAGGAGGTAAACTAAAAAGTGGGTTTTGGAAAATATAAAAATGCTTTCATGTCTGCAGTGGCAATGACCACTGGTTTTTCATAAAATGGGGAAATAAAAGATTTGGAGCTGGAACAGGTGGATACACTTGAATCCAAGGCTGGAACTCCCCCAGTTACTGGCACCTTGTAATCTTCCCTACTTCAAGGAGCTGGAGTTCCCCTCTCAGAATTCACCAAAGACCACACAGCACAGTGTGCGCCCCACACCCAGAAAGGCAGGTGGAAGGCCAGGCAGTATTGCTTCTTCTCGCAGTAACAGGGACCTGCCTCCCACCCAGGGCTGGGCCCAGTCCCTGCAGCGGCCATACCTCCCTTCTTTCCTCTCCTTCACTCCCTCCCACCCACACAGGCCCTTGTGCCAGGCACAGGCTAGGCCTCAGCAGAATAGAACCCCACGGTGGCCTGTTCCCTCAAAAAAGACAACACCGCCAACTTCTCCCCTTGGTGTGTTCCCTGTGCTATTTTGTGCTGAAAGGTAACAATAGCAGGCATTTATTAATGAGGAGCAGGCTGCATGCAAAGCAGAAACTGAAAAGTCTGAATGGAGAGGAGCTGCCTTCAAAGATGTGCCCACGGCACCAGAAGCAGCACAGCACCGGCTTTGGCAGCTTTTTCACCGCTGTGTCCTCAGCCAAACAAACACAGTGCCTGGCACACAGTATGTGCTCAGTAAGAGCTCAATCATGAGGGAAAGCCTGCATGTTAGTGAACTGTTCTTGGGGCTTTTCTGGAAGTCCGGCCTGGTCGTGTGTAGCTGTGGAACACACAAGCACAGTGTTTAAAACTCCCTGAAGGAGCTCAAAGGCACGCCCTTTTGCAGGGACTGGCAGGGAAGCCAGGCTGCTTGTGTTGGTTTCTGCTGACCTTGGACATCTGGGCGGCGGTAGTGCCTCTGGTCCCCAGAAAGACCATGGCCAGCGCTGAGGAAATGCTCATGGGGGAGAAGAAGATGTTCCCAGAGGGGTCGCTGTCCTTCAGGGTGCGGAAGAGGTCCAGTGTGAACCGGGTGTTGGCCAAGCTCAGCTGCTCCATGGTGAGACTGCAACACAGGACAGAGGCCTAGCACCCCAGCTGATTAGGCAATGACAGGTCTCCAGGTCATCCTCACCCTGAAACCCCCGGAAACTTGTACTTTCTTTTCTTTTTTCAGGAGGCCAAGAGCACTGTCTCATGAGCTCACAGGTGGGAACCGGAAAAGGATCCAGCAGAGACCAAGCACAGATCTCAGGGTCCTAGAGGCTCTGATGCGCAGACTCAGCAGCAGGACTGGGCCTTTCCTCCTCAGCAGGGAGCACACACATGTCCCACCCTTTACCCAAAATGATAATTTTCTACTAGAAAACCATAGCTACCCACACTGCATTAAAGCAAATTTCAGCAAAGTGATCAATTTTCCTCACTTTCAAGATTCAGTTGCTAATGTTTAGAGAGGTGAAGTGTCCTAAGGCTTGAGGCTGGTTTAGGAAGTGAGAGATTGAAAACCCAGCACAGGCCTTAGGGTCGAGGTGCAGCCCCCCAGGAGCAGGGGACAAGCATCCTCTCTGACACCCTCAGGCGTGGTGACTGGCCTTCCTCCTCAGCCCAGAAGCCTGCTTACCAACCCTGACTTCTCTCCGAGCTTGTTTCCACAGAGAAGGGCAAGGAAGGATAGCTGTGCTGGCTGCTTCCCTGTGAGTAATACATTGAGTTATGACTGTTGTTTTTGGAAAATAACCTCAAGGATCACATTGGCCTCCCCTTCTTCCATATTTTCCTCCCACTTTCCCTTCCTCCCTCCTTCCCCCTCTCCTTACCTCCCTTCACAGCAATGAAAAGCTATGCCTCCAGGCCTGCCTAAAGATTGTCACAAACTGCTCAGGGAGGCAGAGAGCTAAAAAAGAAATAAAAATATTATTATCTCAGGCTTGGGGTCCATCACAGGCCAGTCAGCCCTGTGTCCCCTGATTTGAGGGTTTGGTGGGGGATGTCGCCTCCCACTCAGATGAGCAGTGCAGTCAGCAATCCCAGGAAAGGGCAGGGGCTGTGGGTACTCAGGGCACCGAAGACCAGGGCTGAGAGAGGGGTAGGCAGCTGGCAGGTCCCAGCCCTGGGCAGTCCCCACCCACTCAGTCCCACTTCCCTAATGGGCCTGGTGCCTGACTTACCCACTGCTGGCCGCTTCGGAGGGACTGTCAATCTCACAAATGCAGGCAGCTGCAAGCAGAGCCCTTATATAGTCCCTGAGGAGGGAAGGTGCAGCTCTGGCTCCATAGTGGAGGAAAGGGGTGGGGTTGGAGGACAGTAGAGGAAGAGGCAGCAGGGCGGTGCTGGGGGTGTGGGATGATGGGGTGGAGCAGAAGAAGGAGCAGGGTGGGGCAGCAGGGCAGGCACAGCAGGAGCCTGGCAGTGTCAGTAGAAGCCTAGATGAGGGTGGACTATTCAGGAAATGAGCATCTTTTTGAGCCTGGGGAACTCAGATCTCTGGCAAGGACCTGATGGCCTAGTGCTTGCCTAAGTGTGAATCACTGAGAGGACATAATGTAGCACCTCTTAGAGGGCAAACTTGCCCCTCTGAATCTCATCTGTATACTCCAAAATGGTTTTGTTTCTCTGTGCTTTCCTTTTTGTCTTGTGAGGTGGGGAGGGACATCTGGTATAAGATAAAACAGTCCTGTCAGCTTTTGGTCATTGATGCCAGTTCAATGCCACCAGGAATCCCCAATTTAGGGTGCAGTGAAGATGGAAACTTTATGCAGTGCAAACAGTTCAATTGTGATGCAGCCCAGTTACTAGACTGAAGCAGCAGGTGGCAAGGTGGCCCTCTCTGATCAACAAGCTCTATTCTGCTCTGGTCTGTTCCACCTGCTCCATTCCATCTCCCTCTTCCTGTTTCTCCAGGAAACAATCTTGAGTGGAAAGAGAAGTGTGCTCCAGGAGCCAAAAGAAGCTGGCTTAAGTAGAGAGAAGTCCCCACCCCTGGTGTCTGATTGGTTCATCCTCATGCAAGACAGGACTCCAAGTCCTCAAAGTTTGATTGCACCAATCTGTCCTGTTTGTTTGGAATGGAGCTTCTCTGATTGGTTAGAGAAAATGCTGATAAGGAAATAAGTGCACATTTCCAAATGAATGGGGAAAGCCTCAGCCTTAAATATTGAAGTATATTCTAGGGACTCCTTTCTAAGGGCTGGCTCAGATGCTGGAGCACAGTGCAGGCAGGCAGTGCAGGCTTCTCCGTGAAGTGCCCTCCTGCTGAGCCCCCTTCTCCCATAGAAATGGCTGCAAAGGTCTGTCTTACACATTTTAGTCCATTTACGCATCAGGATTCCTTCTTGGTAGGTAGCTTCTTTCTCAGGGTCTCCAGTTCCAACCAACAACCTTGGTGTCACTATCTTTAGGAACCAACATGAATGTAGCCCCAGTATTGTCCTCACAGTGATGGCTACCCCACTATTTCTATGGGTCGTCTATTTGTTTCCCACTTAAATGTCTAGCAATGTAATTTACCAAACTCTATAGTAGTTGAAGGTCTGAAATAATTCTGCATTCGTGAAAGTTGTACCCTGTTTTCTTACAAATCTCAACATGAAACAGCAAAAAAGAAAATGTTCTATGTGTGTGTGTGTGTGTGTGTGTGTGTGTGTGTGTGTGTGTGTGTGTGTTTTAGTATGGACAATATAGTGTGAAAGGGATTTTAGATTTTTGTTTGTTTTTTACTCTGAGAACTTGTTTATCATGAGGAGAGTCAAGGAAGTTCCATTAACGAGTGATAAAAATATCTCCATAGATTTTCTTTTAAGCAGGAAGAGTTCAATAATGATTTTAGACTGATTCGCAGCTTATTAAATAAAGAAATAAATACTTATTGAAAGCCACTTATTGCTAAATTTAAGTGGTTTGATCAAATCTGGTCAGCTCTCCACCATTTCTCACAGAACCAGAGCACCACTCACTGGCTTCTACAGAGAGGTCAATGTGAGAAAGTCAAGAGAGAGAGGCTGCACTGAGATGTTGTTAAATTAAAACGTGAGACACGTTAATTGAAGAAAAAAGTTTTCTGAATTTTAATTTTTTCTTCTGGCAGGTTATATTTGGGTAAAATAGAAAACAAAGCCATTTCCTAAGTCAATGTGAATACTGTATATAAGGTTCAGACAAAATTGTTCACTATACATCCGTCAATCAATACATTTACTGTCTAGAGTTGAGGCAAAGTAACTGTTTTGTCAAATAACATTGGAGTGTTCCTGTAAATTTAAAATAGAAATGGCCACAATCAAAGCTCAGAGATACTTACACACTCAGGAAGGTAGGGTATATCTGCCAAAGGAGCACATGCTTATCCCAGCTTCCATCCAGGACTTTCCCCCCAGAGTGAAATGTGTGTGAGCACGTGCTCCTGGAGATGTGTACAAGAATGTTCATAGCCACATGCTTTGTATGGAAGTATGGTAGCAACCATACTTAGATAAAAACTGCTGTTTGAATTTTAACCCTGCTATTCTGGCTACTGCACTCACTCACTTACTTAAATAATAGGGTAGTTATCTCAGCTTCCAGATTAAGACCTGGAGGCTAAGGCAATTTTCCTGTGCCTGTGGACCAGGGCGCAGGAGACTGATTCCCACTGACTCAGTAGCTCCAGGAGTAGAAACTGTAGATAACCTTCAGAGACTACTAACTCTCCTGAGTTCTGCTCCTGGAAACATTGCTTTAGCAAGATAGGGCCACATTCCAGTGTCTAGGAGAATGTGGCTGGAAACTGCCCTGCGGGTTGTTTCCAGCTTTTAGAATTTAGAATTTAGAATTTAGAACAAAGGAAATTTTTGTGATTTAGACCTTTAAAAGGATTGCCTACAGCTGGAATTGCATGGTCATGAGTGTGGACTCCACCTGCGTTGGTGCTTTTGCGGAGGCCCTGGCCAGTGCAATAAATCTTTGCCTTCTTTTTTAAAAATCAGTAGCCTCTGGTGGTCTTTTTTTGACTCCAGGGTTTGACCCCAAAACAGTATTAGACCTGGATTTGGAAACCACATAAATGACCATTAGCAGAAGAACAGTCTAATAAATACAACAGAATAATTTACGGTAATAAAAATAAGCAAACTACAGCAATTCACAGGACCATGGTTGTATCATACAGCTGCACTGTTTAATGAAAGAAAAGCCACAAAAAGCTATGTGTTTTGGTTATAGGAAGTTCAAAAACAAGCAGAACTAACCCATAAGGTTTGAAGTCAGTAGAGAGTTCTTTTCAGAGAGCAAGGGGGATTGTACTGACTGTATTTTCTGTGTTCTTCGTGCTCTGCTAGTTGAGGCTTCAATTTTGGAGAGAGCACTTCTACCAGCGCTAATTCCTAGAGATAGCAAATGGTCCCTGATGCCCCTGTGAGTGTACCTTTGATATCAATTCAGTGACCACATTCTCAAATATCTCCTTTATCAAACTCTTACAGGCTAAGCCTATAATCCTCCTATTCTAAACTATCCCCACACAGGTACCAAACCACTAGAGACTACCTTTGTAGCCAGCTCATAGCCCCCAAATTATTTATACTGTCTAATTTAAACCTGGTGTATCTGTCCTGCCCTGCCCATCCCTTCTTGCGGGGATTCCAGAAGGCTTTGCTTTCACTCCTGCATACTTCCTGATAGACTGGGTGCTTCCCAGGTCCACTGTTCTGTGATGGTGAGTGCTTCCCAATTTCTGGGATCTGTGAATATACATTCTCCCTTTGTGACAACTATTTCCATGTCAAATGTCTTACTACACCCGACCAGGACAAATTCTGGGTCCGTTTTTAACAGAAGGAATGGCTTCTGGAGTACTGATAATGTGCCATTTCTTGTCATCTGTGGTTACACAAGTGTACTAGTTTTGTCATAATGCATTGAGTTGTGCATAATTTATTATTTTTTTTGGAATTATTAAATAGTAGCAACAAAATATGTTAAACATGTCTGGCCTGTGAGATTCAGTGTTTGATCATTGATCTGTTAACCAGAAAGGTCATGGTTTGATTCCCAATTAGAGCACATTCCTTGATTTGGGGCTC